TGCAAGTACTTGTTAGAAAAAAGTTATGTGCTATCATTGTGATTTGATTCTCATCTAATTATCTGCATGTTTTTTTTTCCCTTTTGACTATGCTTTTGATGGAGTTATAGAAGCTTGAACACCTCATGATTTGAGATTTGTTTATTTTAAGTTATATCTTCTAAACATCACCTGGATCATTTATATGGTAACTGTTAGTCCAAAAAACCGGGTAAGACAGGAAGGCTGGGCATAGAGTTAGAAACTTCCAACCCGATAGAGTGGACAAGATGATGTTGGAGAGGGTTCTTCGACACTACGGTGTACCTGAGATAGTCAATACCATAAGGAATTCTTATGATGGACTATACTTCAAAATGGCGCATGAAAATGATAGATGTACTTCATTTGAAAGCCGGTGTCAGATAAGGTTGCTTAATTTCACTTTCTCCTGATGGTTGACTGGATCATGAAGACGTCAAAATCTCAGTGGAAGCAGGGAATATACACCGGACAGCTCGGATGGTGCCGGACGATTCTGATTACATAGATGATCTAACTCTTCTAATTACAGAGACAGCAACGAATGCAGGCAATAGCAACTGGTGTAATAGCAACCTCAATCAATGTTCACAAGGAGAAACAAAGCTTCTATAATGCAACTCCAACCAAACCACATTTAATGATGAAGCTTTGCAGGTGGAAACCTTTACATGCCCGAGCAGCATAATTGCTAAAAGAAGAAGGCGGACCTGAAGCAGATTTAGAGACATGAATTGGAAAAGGTAAATATTCCTACAAATAAAGAACATATGGAACTCAAAACAACTTTCAACTAACTCCAAAGTCAAAATCTAAGTATAAACGTCAAAATAGTTTTATTGTATGAAACTGGAACTTGCAGAACTAATACAGTCATCGAAAAGATACAGGTATTTGGAAACAATTGTCTATACAAGATACTTTAGATCAGATGGCTGGACACACCACTAGCAATAATCGACTGTAGCAAAGAACAAACCAGCTTCCAAAAAGGAAAAGGAGACTAAGGAAAGTTGGATAGGACACACTGCGGAAATATAGTATTTCAACTCGTTTTTTAAACGTTTAACAGGGTTTTTTAAAATAACCAGAAAATTTTTTAAAATTTTCACAGCGTTTTTTAAAATTTTTTGTAATCCTTAGAATGTCAGAAATAAAAATAGAAAAAACAACTTGATTTCGAATGAAAAAAGAAAAAGCCTTATAAAAAAAGTTATTGAAGATGGATACAGCGTCAAGGATGCGGCATTTCTTACAGATGTAAACTATCAGGCCGCTACAAATATTATAAGGTTGTATATATAAAAAGGAATCGCGAGTTGAGAAGAAATAAACAGGAAAACCATCAAATAAGAAGATATGCGGTGATATTATCAATTTTGTTGAAGAATTGATAGAATTAAACCCGTTAATAACGATGGTAGAAATTCGAGAAAAAATAGAAAACATATCATCTATAGGCCTTTCTCTTGAATCTATAAGAAGGATAATTTATAGACTTCAGATTACTTTGAAAAAGATTTCTTATACATTGGTCAATATAAATTCGGAATCCAGTAAAAACAAACGCCAAATTTATGCTCAAAATTTTATGAACATTGAAGATACATTTATAAAAGTTTTTATATAGATGAATCTTCTTTTAATTTGTACTTAAGAAGAACCTTGGGAAGATCTACAAGAGGAAAACCGGCAAGTGCCCTAGTTCCATCAACGCGTGGAACCAATATAAGTTTAGTATCGGCTATAACAGAAAATGAAGTTCTCTTTGCTAAAACATTTGTTGATTCGGTGAATTCAGATAAGTTCATTCAGTTTTTTGGTTATTTTAAAAAACCCTGTTAAAAGTTTAAAAAACGAGTTGAAATACTATAATAAAACTACACTACGACCCGAGTCCTAAATAAGAATCCTGAATGTATAAGCAGAATCGATCAAAGATGGGACATAAAAACAATAAACAACACCTGAAAACAACTAAAAAGCAATGCCCAAGATAAAATGAACTATATTACGCTAATTGCTGGGGGATTTACAAAATTATTATCCCATTAGTGTACATTTTCTAATTGTGAAATAACCTACCTAAAAAAGGTTAGACACACACAGATAGTAAAATTCATTTGTTTCTTATTCAGTGGATATAATTCATTTTATTGCACCTTTAAAATTGATATAAAAATCAGTGAATTATGTACGACTTGATGTAGTAACTTATAACACTAAAATATTTTTTTATTCTAAAAATCGTTTGGATAGGAACAAAAGTTATGTCAATCAGTCAGTTCCAACGTAGAATTCCGTACGTACGTACGTATATCATTTCAGGTTGCCATACCACATTAGCACAGAAACGCAACTGTCAGTCCAAATCCAAGAGTGGTAGAGACAGTAATAACGGTAAATGAAGAAGATTAGGGTTCGAAAATATTATTCAAAATTATGTGGAACATAATATTCTAAAAATATAGTAATTAACTTCCATCATTAACTCTGCCGGTCCCAAGCCCAGATAAACGAGGAGGGTTGGGCGTGGGGTCGACATCCACATCCTGGAGAAAACTAACTCGTTAAAAGAACGTTAACCTGAAAAAATAATTCAAACCACTTAAAATCTACTCTCATAGTTAAAAGGTCTTCTTTCAGAAGAGTTATGACATCTATTGATGAAAGCCGAGTTCCTTCGGAAGTCACGAGTACGATGCCCCTTCTCACAACCAGAGCAACTATTCTTTTAGGTACATGGAATGTTCGGACAATGTGGGAGACCGGAAAACTGTTCGACATTGCTACAGAAATGAAAAGATACAACCTCAAGGTGCTTGGAGTCAATGAAACGCATTGGATGCAGGTTGAACAACTGAGACTAGCTAGAGAACTGCTGTTATACTCCGCCCATGAACAAGAAAAAGCCTCACACACAGGGAGTTACACTAATGCTATTCAAACAAGCACAAAAGACACTGACAGGATGGGAATCTCATGGACCCAGGATCATTAAAGCATCCTTCAAAACAAAGAAAGAGGACATTACAATGAACGTCACCCAACGCTATGCATCTACCAATGACTACAATGAAGGCGTTAAAGATAAATTCTACGAGAGGCTGCAGTCAATACATACATAAATACATAACTTGAACTGAGATTGATACAATAAATTAATATGATTACAATCAAGAAATTTTTGGCATCTAATGTTAACACTAAGAAATTGCAGATAAAAAATGATTCTTAACATTAGGGTTGTAGAGAGACTGTTATGCCTGCACGAAAACACGCCATTTTGATATGCTTGAACTATTACGAGTTTACCTAGTTGGAAAACGAGAGCGAGGATCCGGCGACACGAAACGCTACTCGAATCCGACTATCCCAACCCCCATATTCAGTAAAAAATAAGGAGACTTGATATGGAGGAGAATCAGTATTCTACAAGCATCCAGAAAGTACGAGGTCCGAGTCCAGAAGAGAATCAGGATGCCGGACTACGAATCCAGGACCGGGTCCTGGTCATAAAACGTTAAAGATAATGCGTATTTATACATTTTGGTCGAATAGGGAACAGCATCGAAGTCTGTGACATTGGCAGTCAAGACGACCAATAAGAAACAACATTGGAGCACGTGACATTGATATCTAGGACGACCATAAAATTGACCAATAGGAATTGACCAATAATTCTCTTAGGATATTGGAGGAATATCCTAACAGAGACCGAAAGTCCTGAGTCCGATTTCGGCTTGCAAGATCATGGATATGCGCTGCTGAGAAGTCTCATACTAGGATGAAACAGTCGTCCAGGGTTTTCAATGGTGGTCTAACATCGATTCGGTTCATAATTTCAATCAAAATGAACCATAAATTTTGTACATAAACTACAATTTAAGCACGACGACATATTGTATTCATTCAAAAACTATAAAATACCTTGAGAAAGTTTAGTCAATTGGTTACAAACTTTCTATACTTAACTGTATTGTGAATTCATACACAAAATTACTTTTATCATTACATAATAAGTTATTTTCAGAAACTTAATGCTGAATGGAACATATCAACACATTCAACCAAAAAAAGACTATACTTGACAATCCATTATAAGTCAACATCTAGAGAGCAGCATGGTATACAGTGGACAACTAGGATGCAGCTGGACGATCTGGACTTCACAGATGACCTGGCTTTCCTATCGCACACGCAACAACAAATGCAAGAGAAGACGATCAGTGTAGCAGCATCAGGTCTCAATATACATAAAAGCGAAAAACAAGATTCTACGATAAAACACAACATGCACAAACCAAGCCACAATTGACGGCGAAGCTTTGGAGGCAGCATCATTGACGAGCACGGTGGATCTGATGCAGATGTGGGGGCTCGAATCGGTTAAGCAAGGGAGGCGTTTCTACAAATGAACAACATCTGGGACTCAATACAACTACCAACCAACACCAAAATCACAATTTTCAATACAAATGTCAAGACTGTTCTACTGTATGGAGTGGAAACTTGGAGAACTACTACCAAAGCCATCATCTAGAATACACAAGTATTCCTTAAGAGTTGTCTACGCAAAATACTTCGGTTCCGTTGACCAAACATCATCAGCAACAACCTACTGTGGAAGAGAACAAACCAGATTCCAGTTGAGGAGGAAATAAAGAAGAAGCAGTGGACTTGGATAAGACACACATTGCGGAAACCACCCAAATGCGTCACATGACAAGTCCTCACATGGAATCGTCAAGGCAAAAGGAAAAGAGGAAGACTAAAGAACACATTACGCTGAGAAGTGGAGACAGTCATGAGAAAAACGAATAAAAATTGAACAAAACTGGAAACAGAAGCCCAGTACAGAGTTGGTTAGTCAGTGGTCTATGCTCCATTGACGGCGGGGGGAGAGTAACAGTCGTCTGTTAGTAAGTAATTAAATTCATTATTAGAATGGTTTAAAATGACGCTTTGACGGGAATGAATTATATACAATTGTGTCATTTATTTTTTTTATTGATTACACAAAAATGGAATGGAAAACAATAAATTAATTCACAGTGTACATACAATAAAACATCATTTACAAAGAAATCCAAAAAGAAAACACCGATAAAAGGAAACGACGGATAAGCAACAATGAAATAACATGGTCGGTTATATACTACTACTTAACAATCCAATTCATTCTTGATTCTTTTGCACAACACCAAAACATATTCACATAGTCCTAATATCAATAAAACTAAAAATACGCACTTGTTTTTTGATAAATACAAAAAAGAATATGAAAACAAAAAATGATCACTGGATGATGAATTGATCGCAAACGCAAAAAAAAAAAGAAAATGGATCAGTCAGAATCTGAGTGTAAACCAGCAATTTCTTCTTCGGAACCGCCAATAGCTCTCCAAATTTTACATGTTATCTAAAAAAAAAAAATTTCAATTGATTGATATGAAGGAAAAAAAATGTAAGAATTACACATACAACTGAATAAATAAGTGAATAATAATGGATCTCTGAAAACTTCTCATCACACAGGTACACAAATCATTGATATATATATATATATATATATATATATATATATATATATATTTTTATATATATATATATATATATATATATATATATATATATATATATATATCATGAATTGATCATTGTTAGACCATTATTAGGAACTTGGATGCACAGGACGGCCGTTTTGTTGTAGCATATAGGGTTGATCAGCAGTGCGCATCCATAACCTTCGCTCGTTGGAATTGAACTCAGGACCTTCAATCTTATGCAGGAACACTTAACCACTGAGCCGGTGTTAATGTCAATTCAAAGTATTGCGCAACCTCACCCGAAAAGCTCCAGAACTCTATAGTAAAAAGTTATAAAATTTGCTTACTAGTGATAAGATTCGTGAAGAAACTCTCACAGTTCTGGTGAGAAGACATGACCAGTAGAGTTCAAATGTGTCGGGTATAGGCAGTTACCAACCAAAGATAATCGGTGAGGTTGCGCAATACCTTAGACTGAATCAAACAAACCACAATGTAAAACTGTATATGTAAAAATATGAAGTCAACAGTAGTCAGATGCAACGTAGAACTTCGTACCTAAGTACATCAGTTCATGTCGCCATACAACATCAGCACAGAGATGCAATTGTCAATTCAAATGCTTAGGGTGGTCAGAAGACTCTGCATTTTGTCAGCGTCTTCACCAAGTAGGACTATGTCATCGGCATATTCTAAGTCAATAAGCGAGCCACCTGGTAATAGGTCTACTCCTGAAAATTCAGACGAGGATAAGGTTATTTCTAGGAGCATGTCTATGATAAAATTAAACAAGAATGGAGAAAGTGGACAGCCCTGACGGACATCACCTGAAGTAAACAATTCCAACGACAGTTTACTATAAGCTCTCACTCGACCAGTGGTGTTCGAGTAGAGAGCTTGTATAAGGTTCATGTACTTCTTTGGTACACCTTTCAATGACAGACACTGCCACAGAACCTCACGATCCACTGAGTCAAATGCCGCCTTAAGGTCCAGGAAAACAACTATTGTAGGACGCCTAAATGTGTGTCTGTGTTCCAGGACCTATCGTAGTGTGAAGACGTGGTCTATACAGCCACGTCCAGGTCGAAAACCAGCCTGGTTTTCTCTAGTCTGCTCTTCACGAACACTAGTTAGGCGCCCGAAGTATTATTGAGGCCAATATTTTAGATACTATAATAGTTGGACTTATTCCCCTGTGATTGTCACAAGAAGACTTCTGTCCTTTCTTATAGATTGGGACAATCAGTGATTGAGACCAGTCTGATGGGATTACGTCCAGTTCCCAGATTCTACCTAAGATCTCAGTCAACCTAGCTGCTAAAACTGGACCACCATCCTTAAATATCTCAGGGGACAGTCTATCAGGACCTGCAGCTCGTCCTCGCTTCAGATTTCCTAACGCTTTCTCAACGTCATTAGGACTAGGCGGACTTACGTCGACTAGCCATTCAGGATGACTGGAGATCGTGGGTAACCGAAGAGTGGCTCGAGGCCAGTTGAACTGATCTCTAAAGTGTTCTGCCCATCGATCCAGTCTCCTGGATTGAGAATAAATAATAGTCCCGTCATTTTCTGAGATAGTCTCACTTACACTAGGATTCCTAATACCAGTTTCCTTGATAAGTCGGAAAAGTTGTCTACTGTTGCCGATCACCGCTGCCTTTTCCATCGCTTTTGCTTTCGCCACCCACCACTGTTCGCGATCGTTACGTAGGCTTTTTATAAGTCTGCGCCTAAGTTGACTTCGTTCTTCATCATGTTCAGAGCCAGGTGGGATGAGTTTTCGGGCATCCATCAGATCGGTGGGTGCTACTGAGATCCACGGCTTCATTCTAGCCTTATGGTCAACCTTACTAGCAGATATCACTGCTGTTTCCACAGCCTTTTTGATATCATTCCATCCTGCTTCCGGATGGGAATCGCTTAAATGGTCGCCTAACTGTTTTTCTAGCTGTTCCTGAAATATATTCTTCTCCTTATTATCATTAAGTAAAACCCTAAGAGGCTTTCTTACGGTGTCTTTCCTACGCCCAGTAAGCTTCAAACAAATACGCGCTCGCACTAGGGCATGATCTGAATCCAAACATGTGCCCCAGAACGAGCGACAGTCTTCTATCGAACCCCTCCATCGGTGGCTGATGGCGATGTGATCTAGTTGGGTCCAACGTTGAGACGACTTTGGAGGTCGCCAGGTCAACAGATGCTTTTCCTTATGCCTAAAGTTAGTGTTTGCTAAGAATAGGCGGTTGTCTGAGCATACTTGCAACAGACGGTCACCATTGTCTGTTCTCTGAGCCGCGACACCATAACATCCACCTAGGTGTCTTTCATTTTCACTTAGTTTAGCTACTTGAGCATAAAAGTCACCAACCATTATTACTATATCAGAGCGCCTAGCTTTTTGGAGGAGGTCCGAAAGCTTTCTGTAAAACTCATATTTAACCTCGTCTGAACTGCAGTCAGTGGGGGCGTAGGCAGATACGACGAATAGGCTACGGCGATTGTCCCTATCTTTCCGAGTCCTTACTGTCCCGTTTAGTCGGACAGCGCACAAGCGACTATCTATTGGGATCCAGTCAAGCAGAGATTGTTCAGCTCTGCGATTCAATGCTATGCCTACGCCAGCAAGACCCTTGGAAGCAGCATCAGGGCTTCCAGATACACGAAGAGTAAATCGAGCTGCTTCTTTATTTTGACAAGGTGAAGTCAGATTAATAATTTTACTAGGATCCTGCATGCGCGTTTCAGAGACGCAGCATACATTGATGGCATGAGATTCTAAAGTCCTAGCTAATGAGGCCTGTTGCCTTATTTGACACAATGTCCGTACATTAAATGCTCCAACATGTAGTCTAGAACGAGGTTTCAAGAGACTAGGAATGACGTTTCGTGAACTTGCTTCGTTTGCATTAGCGGTGCAGTCAGATAAGGGAATGTGAGTACGGTTAGTTGTGGAGAGAAGAGAGGTATGTGTGGGTGTAGGAAGGATTTGATTTCGACCAATTTGGTCTCTCGTGCTGTTACGGGTATGAGGGCGGTTGCCACTTCTAGGCTGCCCAAACCGTGGAAGGTTGTTTCTTGAGGGACCTGAAAAGAAAGGTATATTAGCGTTGGTCTTAGAGACCTGGGTGCGTGACCGCAGAGCCCAAGGGACAACTGCTTGAGGCCGGTCACGCACGGCTTTTTTATGAAGGGTTTTTTCAGTATTAGCTCCGCTCTTGAAAGACCTTAGTGGGCACCCTTACCGCCGGAGACGGAAATCCGTGAGGTAGGGTGAGGTGTGACATTCTTAGTGTCGACCTTTTCTAACCCTTCCTTCCTTGTGAGAAGGCAGCATCGCTGCAGATGCTGGTTGTCTGAGGGAAACACCTTACTGCTGTCACACCCCTCTGCAGTAAGTCAGCAGTACGACTTCGCCCTCAGACCTTGGGTAGCTGCTTTTAGTCTCATCGTTCTCCGATCGAACAGCCTGGCATGGTAGGACCTGCAGGAACATATGTTCCAGCCAGTATAGCTCGGTTGGGTCATGACGATAGGCAAGCCCGACCACCACGTCAAGGTCAAAGCTACGGTCGGGAAGTCAACAGTAGTAAGACAAAATAAGGTAAAAAAAAAAGAGAGAAATGGAGAACTATAAAAAGAAACTAGGTAGTTTATCTGGGGAAAAAAGTATAACAATAAGAAGAAAAGTAATTCAGCTCATTAGACTATCATCTAATATGATTTAACTCATTCACCAACTATAGATTGATATTCTGGCTTTGAGCTCAGTCAGTCAGAACGAAGAACTTCGTACGAATATACATCAGTTCACGTTTCCATACAACATCAGCACAGAAACGCAACTGTCAGTTCAAGTTCAATAATGATAGCAATAGTAGAAGTATTACTGGTAATGGAGAAGATTAGGCCTCCAAGATATCATTCAAGAAGTAGACTTCAGTGAGATAAATTTAGAGAAAGATAGAGATGATGAGGAATTCAGAAGGTTAGAATTTGAGGGAACATAAAGAATGAATGCACCTGCGCCTTTCCAAAGGATTTTGAGCCATGTCGTTCAAGGTCTCTAAACATTGGTGACTTTCGTCTCGCCGACCCCAACAAGGTAGCCTACATTTACCAACATGACTCACTCTACTTGTCAGTGATGTCATGGATTGTTGCCATGTTTTGGTTTGGCCGCCCCTAGCTTTCTTCCAATCTACTCCTGCACCACAACATATGGCTCGACGAGGCAGTCGGTGGGTAGGCATACGTAACACATATCCCAACCACCTCAACTGATGCAGCTTCAATACTTCCTCTATTGTTCTGCCATCCCTAACTAGTACACGTTTCCAAACTACAGCATTGCTTACTCGGTTGTCCCAGGATATACGAGCAATGCTTCGAAGACATCTAAAGTTGGAGTCTAATAACCAACGAATATCCTCAACTCTTAGCAGTCATGTTTCGCACCTATATAGTAGGAAGGAGCGAACTGCTGCGCAGTACACTCATCCTTTGGTTGGCAAACGGCTATCTCCCCTACGCCATAAGTGAGGTAAGTTGGCAAAAACTAATCGAACCTTCTGTATCCATGCTAAGATTTCGTCAGACACCAGGCTATCAGCACTGATGAGACTACCAAGATAAGTGAAGCACTCAACACGCTTTGAGCTACTACACTTTATGTATGAAGAATAATTATATCACTTCAACTAAGCGACGGATCGAAGTAGGTGAAGTGGGCTTTGAACCTGTGACCTAATTTAGTTAAAACTCTAATAACCTTATCCATCTGCTTGCTCAGCCATCTATATTTTACTTCTTCTTAACAGCTTAGATTAACTGACATTTTCTTAAAATTTAATCAAGCGACCGATAATATGACTGACTTCTAACAAAAAAGGGAAATGTACTAACTTTACAAATTAATAAAAACCAATAGAGAACTTACTTTTTCAGCCAAATTATGCCTATCTGTAGAATTTAATGAAGCTAATTGTTCACGTATTGTTGGTAATTGTTTGAAAAGTTCTTCAAATTCATCTTCATCCTGTGATGATGATGATGATGCTGATGAGGAATGGACATGTTCATCATTGTCATGATTTAAATGAATCTTTTCTAAGCTATTGGATAAATGATCTGTTGAATTTAAATGATTTTCATGTTTCAACAATTTGTTTTCCGCTGATTTTAATTGTTTTCGATTAGTTTGTTCTTTTAGATTTGATACAGAACGAAGGAGAGAAAAAATAAATTTATAACTGTGATGAAAAAGACAGATATTAAGTGGAACCTTCATCAGTTGAGGTGGTTAGGATGTGTCTTGCGAATGCCCAACAAGCGACTGCCTCAACGAGCTACGTTTTGTGGTGTAGGAGTAGGCTGGAAGAAAGTTAGGGGTGGACAAACCAAAACATAGCACAAATCCATGAAGTCACTGACAAATGGACTGAGTCATGTCGGTAATTGTCGACCACTTGTTTGGGGTCCGCGAGATGATCATAATCGATGGTTAGAGAACCTGAATGACATACCCAACCGAAGCTGCTACCTTGACGTGGTGGTTGGGCTTGCCTATCGTCATGACCCAACCGAGCTATATTGGCTGGAACATATGTTCCTGAAGGTTCTATCATGCCAGGTAGGTCGATTGAAGAACGATGAGACTAAAAGCAGCTACCCAAGGTCTGAGGGCGAAGTCGTACTGCTGACTTACTGCAGAGGGGTGTGACAGCAGTAAGGTGTTTCCCTCAGACAACCAGCATCTGCAGCGATGCTGCCTTCTCACAAGGAAGGAAGGGTTAGAAAAGGTCGACACTAAAAATGTCACACCTCACCCTACCTCACGGATTTCCGTCTCCTTGGGTAAGGGTGCCCACTAAGGGCTTTCAAGAGCGGAGCTAATACTCAAAAAACCCTTCATAAAAAGGCCGTGCGTGACCGGCCTCAAGCAGTTGTCCCTTGGGCTCTGCGGTCACGCACCCAGGTCTCTAAGACCAACGCTAATATACCTTTCTTTTCAGGTCCCTCAAGAAACAGCCTCATACGGTTTGGGCAGCCTAGAAGTGGCAACCGCCCTCATACCCGTAACAGCACGCGAGACCGAATCCGTCACAAACAAATCCTTTCTACACCCCCTAACATCTCTCTTATCTCCACGACTGACTCTACTCACATTCCTTTATCACGGTGCACCACTAACGAAAACGATGCGAGTTATTCCTGGTCTCTTGAAGCCCCGTTCTAGACTACATGTTGTAGCTTTTAATGTACGGACATTGCGTCAAATAAGGCAACAGGCTTCCTTAGCTAGGACATTAGAATCTCGCTCAACCAATATATGCTGCGTCTCGGAAACGCGCATGCAGGATCCTAATAAAGTTATTAATTTGATGAATGACATGGCTCAAAATCGTTTGCAATAGCGCATGTGCATCCATTCTATGTGTTCTCTCAAATCTTAATCCTCTGGATTCCTCATCACCTTCATCTTTCTCTTTTTACGTTTCTTTCACTAGATTCTACTTCTTGAATAATATCTTCGAACGCTTATCCTTTTGATTATCGCTAATACTTCTACTACCTCTACCACTATGTGATTTGAATTGAAAATTGCATCGCTGCGTGTTAATGTGATATGGCAACTTGAACTAATGTAAGTACACATGAAAGTATACGTTGCAGCTGACTAACTTTGTATTCTGATGATTTCCATTGGCTAAACTGATATGCGGTAGAATATAGGACAAGTGAATAAATATTTGGGGGGCGGGGGCGGGGTGGGCAAAAACATATTCCACTAAAAACTCGTAATTGTTGACAATAACAATCATAATTCATATTATATATGCATACCTTTAAGTTTCATATTTGGCCATGTATATGTTTCTAATATGGACATAATTCGTTTTACTCCAAATTCTTCACCTGAAAATGAAGTGTTCAAATGAGAATCCATTTAGAGATAATAAGTTGACTGTAATCATTTCAAAATAGATATACTGATGTTAAAACAGTAGAAGACTACTCTCTCTCTTTCTCTGTCTCTCTCGTAAAAGTATGCGTATTATTATGAACTTTGAAATTAGCCAGAACAACTTACATGCCAATTATATACATATTATTATTATTATTATTATTATTATTATTATTATTATTATTATGGACATACAATTCCCATTATGACAGCATCATATTTACTCACTGACGAAATTAATATTTTGGAAATTATGTATAAACATACATACACGATTGTACGGCTTGATAATAACAATGAAAGTCATTGAAATACACTTAAATTCAACGTCATGACAACAATAATAATTCTCTTTGAAATGATGAATCAATCATTGTTAGACCATCAATAGAAACCTGGAAGCACTGGACGGCCGTTTCATCCTGGTATGGGACTCAGTAGTAGTGAACATCCTGCTACTCGCAGGATTCAAACCCAGGACCTTTGGTCTTGCGTAGGAACGTAGATCTGGCTGACTAGTACTTACCTACTAAAAAAAACATCACGATCGTTAGCATCTGTCAACTTATGCTATCAACAGCGTTAGTCTAATTACTTATCATGAAATGAGTAAAATATGCATGAGTGAGCATTGTTCTCTATCATAGATATGAGATATAACCGGTGATTATGAGATATATATATAGGGAACAGTTAATAGACAACAAATATTTACATAGTGCTGATAGCATCTATTTCCTACCATTTCTTATTCTTTCAATATTACGTTAATTTTCGCTTTACTTCATTTACAATTATCACCTTATGTCTATTTGAACTTTTATTTCATTGTCAGTCAGATGCAACGTAGAACTTGGTACGTAAGTACATTAGTTCATGTTGCCATACCACATCAGCACAGAGATATAATTTTCAAATCAAATCCAATAGTAGAAGAGGTAGTATAGGTATTAGAAGTAATCGGAGAGGTAAGGATTAGAAGATATTATTCAAGAAGTATGATGAAGTATGAAGAGTAAATGCACTTGCGCAATTGCAAACGATTTCGAGCCATGTCATTCAGGGTATCTAACCATCGATTATTATCATCTCGCGGACCCCAACCAGGAAGTCGACAATTACCGATATGGCTTAGTCCACTAGTCAATGACTTCATGGATTTCTACCATGTTTTGGTTTGGCCGCCCCTAACTTTCTTCCGACCTATTCCTACACTACAAAACAAAGTTCGTCGAGGCAGTCAGTGGTTAGGCATACGCAACACATGTCCCAACCACCTCAACTGATGAAGTTTCACCACTTCATCTATTGATCTGCCATTCTTACCTAGCACCCGTTTTCTGATAACAGCGTTGCTCACTCGGGTGTCCCACGATATACGAGTAATGTTTCGTAGACACCTATGATCGAAAACCAATAACCGACGAGTATCTTCTACTCTCATTGGCCATGTTTCACAGCCATAAAGTAAGACGGAGCGAACTACTGCGCAGTACACTCGTCCTTTAATCAGCAAACGGATATCTCGCCTACGCCATAAGTGACGTAGGTTGGCAAAAGCCAATCGAGCCTTCTGTATCCGTGCTGAGATTTCGTCAGTCACCAGGCCATCAGCACCGATGAGACTCTCAAGATAAGTGAAGCGGTCAACAAGCTCGACTACTTCACTCCCTATCACTAGTTCAGGTACCGATGTAACCCAATCTTGAAGCAACATTTTGCATTTCGAGGGAGAAAACCGAATACCGAACATGCTTGCATTGTTGCTCAAGATGGTCAGAAGACTCTGCATTTTGTCAGCGTCTTCACCAAGTAGGACAATGTCATCGGCATATTCTAAGTCAATAAGCGAGCCACCTGGTAGAAGGTCTACTCCTTTTATCAATCTTCAAATACAATGCCTTGACAAGTATATGTATGACCAGATTGTTTGAAATGTATTGCGCAAATCCATTACATTTTTCAGATTAACTACGTCTTCTTCTTATTGTTCTATCAAAATTTATAAAAGGTACTATTTGTTTTAAAATGATGAGGATTTTAATAAGTTCGGATGGTAAACATTTATATGAGGTTATAATTTGTTCAGCTATGTCTGCTTTCATGAGTTTGTTTGAGAGAAAATCATGTTTTCAAGAGATACCAAATACAAGGAATAATAGATACTACTAACCTTAATAATGTGATTACTTAAAAAAAAAAACAATTCCTGAAAATGAATGTCACAAGAATAGAGAATGCTTAGAAGAAATAATTGGAATATTAGGATTACAAAAGACCAATAAGTAGTAAACAAACATAATACCTACCTTCTTCAATAGTATCTTCAGTTGGTGAAATTTCAACTAGCTCAAATTCATGATCCAAAGTAATACGTGTCATAACTGAAAAAGCATCTGACTCAGAAGGAAACAAAACAGATGGATTGACAGTATGGCACACCAGTATACGTATAGACAAATCATGACTAGTAGCTAAACTCATCAATTTGACAGCATCATTCCAACTAGAAACCTTGAAGAGAATATAAATATTAATACGCAATAGATCAATGGAAAGTAAGTAAATTCAAAAAAGACTACTAGAAAATATAAAACGCTAGTCTTTATTAACAGATTCAATAATACAATTGAACAAGCGTGCTGATAACGATATGATGAAGCATTGTATATAGCAAGACTAAACATGGCCAGTGAGAGTAGAAGATATTCGTAGGTTATTGGTTTTCGATCATAGGTGTCTTCGAAGCATTGCTCGTATATCGTGGGACAACCGTGTGAGCAATGCTGTCGTTAGGAAACGAGTACTAGGTAAGGATGTCAGATCAATAGATGAAGTGGTGAAACTTCATCAGTTGAGGTGGTTGGGACATGTGTTGCGTATGCCTAACCACCGACTGCCTCGACGAACTTTGTTTTGTGGTGTAGGAATAGGTTGGAAGAAAGCTAGGGGCGGCCAAACCAAAACATGGTAGAAATCCATGAAGTCATTGACAAGTGGACTGAGCCATGTCGGTAATTGTCGACTTCCTGGTTGGGGTCCGCGAGATGATAATAATCGATGGTTAGATACCCTGAATGACATGGCTCAAAATCGTTCGCAATGGTGCCGGTGCATTTATTCTTTGTGTTCTCTCAAATCCTAATCTTCTGGATTCTTCAACACCTCTAGTTTTGACTTTCTAAACTTTTCTCACTGAATCATACTTCTTGAATAGTATCTTCTAATCCTAACCTCTCCGATTACTTCTAGTACCTTTACTACCTCTCCTACTATTGGATTTGATTTGAAAATTATATCTCTGTGCTGATGTGGTATGGCAACATGAACTGATGTACTTACGTATGATGTTCTACGTTGCATCTGTCTGTCTGTCTGTCTGTATAGCAAGACTAATAACCCAACGTTTGACTTTGTATGAGAAAGGATATTTGATAAGCTTTAGGTCAGGACAAAACAAATGGATAGTGTTAACCATCTTTAATCGGTATGTGGCTTTGATAGCTAACAAAATATTCTCACCAAAAATAATCAATTATTGGGTATTGCCTAAAGAAATAATAATATTATTAAAATTGATTCCGATTTTACTCTTGATAATTCTAGAAATATGATAACTGAATGCGATAAAGTGATTCATCAAATCTTTTATTAATTTTCATTGCAACCAAAACATAAAGCAAACTAGATTATCATGTCAGTTTTATTTTCTTTATTCAATCAGAGTGTAACTACTGGTTATGATTATTTCGCAGACCCCAACCAGGCAGTCTACACCTATTAACACGGCTCAGTCCAGTTGTCAGTGACTTTAAGGATTTGTGCCATGTTTTTGGTTTGGCCGCCCCTAGCTTTCGTTCAACCTATTCCTACATAGCAAAACATAGCTCGATGAGGCAGTCGGTGGTTAGGCATACGCAACACATGTCCCAACCACTTCAACTGATGAAGATACACTACTTCATCCATTGATCTGCCATCCTCATCTAGCACTGGTTTGTTAACAACAGTATTGCTAACGAGATTTCACCACGATATATGAGTAATGCTTAGAGGACACTTAGGAATAAATACTAGTAACTTAAGAACATCCTCTACTCTTATGGGCCATGTTTCACAGACATAAAGTAGGATGGAGGGAACTGCTGCGCAGCAGACTCATCTTTTGGTTAAAAATGAATATCTTGCCCACTCTATAAACGACGTAAGTTAGCGAAAGTCACCCCACCGTTTTGTGTTTGTGCTGAGATTTCTTCAATCGTCAGGCCATCAGCACTGAAGAAACTTTTAAGATAAGTGAGACAGTCAATTACATCACTCGCTTTCACTAGTTTATGTGCACATGAGAGCCAATCCTGAAGCAAAATTTCACATTTCGAGGATGATAATCGCATGCTTGCATTATTGCTTAAAGTAGTCGGAAGGCTCTGAATTTTTCAGCGTCTTCATCAAACAGAAAAATGTCATCTGCATATTCTAAGTCGATAAACGAATCTGCTGGAGGAAGGTCAACTCCTGAAAAGTCAAATGACGAAAGCGTTACCTCTAAAAGCATGTCAATGACAAAGTTGAATAGGAATAGATAAAGTGAACAACCCTGACGAACGCCACTTGAAGTAATCAATCCCGATGAGCTGTGACTCGACCAGTGGTGTTCGGGTGAGGAGCCTGTATAAGGTTAATGTACTCCTTTGGCACACCTTTCAATGACATACATTACCACAGAACCTCCCAATCGACAGAGTCAAATGCCACCTTAAGATCAAGGAATACAACTATTGAGGGACGCCGAAATGTGTAAGTTGGACTGACATCAAATTGCCGTTCAGGTTTGGATACATGCCTTTAGCAAGATAATCAAAATAAATTTATCAACAAACCGGTTTATTTTCTATGTAGAGAGCAATAACTGAGCTGATAGGTAACCAGGTAAAAACACCAATCAGATCAATTTTATCATACCTAGTAAAAGGCAACCCGGTAGTAAACTTCATGCTGATGAGGACGGTCACAAAGCGAAGAATTCTAAAGTTTTGATTTTACAGTAACATGGAAAGAATACATTTTAGTCTCTTATTCACAAGGTGCCTGAAACACATAGATGCTTGTCGTCCAATATTAGTGAAAAAGACCTCGCTAAAGTTCACGGAGTCGTTACCCAAGGGTACTTTCATGATATAAACATGTTATCATAGAAGGAAAGAAACTATAAGTGACAATTTTATCTGCTAGTTTTTACTTTCCGTTTGCAAGAGGTCGGCATCAACTTTTTGCAATATCATTGTAAGTTTTACTTTATTTTATAACAAATTGGTAATAAACGTTTTACAGAAACACATCCATAACTGAGGTTTACTATTATATCTCAGATAACAAATAATGGGAACGTTGCCCCTTATCGACAACGCTATAACTACGGAAATTTTCGAGTGTTATCCGTTTTTGTTAATTAAATTTTTCTAAGCTTACATTAACCTTCATACTTGTACCAAGTATGTTGACACGAACTAAATTTGGTACCTAAAAGTTGGTACGTATTAATTTCCTATTCGAACTCAGAAACCTTCTTAATAGATATGTATATAAACCTTGCAAGAAACTACCTTTTTATGATTACGGTTGAAGATAGTCATTTCTATCAATTACAATGCGGACACCTAACTTTCATCTGTGTAAACACTGTCGGAAACTATTTAGGTAAAATATGTGAGTTTTCTTCATATACATCGACCTTTCGAATCATTTCAAGTATGCGAAAAACTTGGTTGCCCTCATAAATTAAAAGCGAGTTTCGGAAAGGAGTAAATAATCTGGCGTCCATACTACGGAAAGCCTGAAGATTTTCTATAGACTTTATTGAAACGTAAACGAACTAGAAAATAAAAGGGTGTCCATTTCGAGACATTTACTCTCAACCGAGGAAATTAGATGAGAACTAACACTATTTATCCCGGTCAGGGGTAAAAGGAAACACTCTAGTGTGTTTCCGCGTTAATACAGGCCAAAATTAGTTAATGACATCTCCAGCATTTTGTCTGAAGTTTACCTTATTTCGCCTCTTTTCAGATAGAGTTGTGCTACTGAATAAAGTAGAAACAATAGTTACTGTACAGAAAAGTGAGTACCTACCTGATCCCCTGAAAAATAAATAATGACCCCGTGAACATTTCTGATTTCTGATAATTCACTGAGAGCACATAATTTATCTAAGGATTGAACGGCTATATCAGCCGAGTAGTATTTGCAATCGATTTTGAGCTTGAACTTCGAGTCACAAATAGGTAATACTGATATTTATTTAGATAAATTGAGACTTGGAACGTACAGTTATCTAGCAATGTTCCCAAGTCACATAAATTTACTGAAACATCTATAAATGCAATCTCAGGTAAATCCATCGAACGACCTTGAAAATTTTATGTTTAGCGGATATATTGGCCAAACGCCAAACTGTGTCAGAAATAATTCAATTTTGTTATATCCGGTCTGTGGAGCATGTTGAGAAATATACTGAGTTGAGTGAAGCGAAGCTCCTTAGAAAGCCCAAAATTTTGAACATTAGAGGTAGAAAGTTTATGTTACTCTACTTTGATCTTTCATCTAATATCCAATATCTTTTTCACTACCTAGGATTTCTTTGCGCTTGCTTCTTGTTCATTCGGTACTATTCCAGGTGTTTTGTAGTGTCCAGTGAATGGGGCTCTAGCCACTCGACTGTCTAATTCTAGTCAGTTCCGAGTTTTTACGTCCCGAGATTTGGATGGAAACGTTTGTTTCAGGGCAGTAGGGTTTCTGGATACCAACAGCTGTCAAATTACCAGACCGGAGACCAGTTAGTTGCAATGTGGGGAGTAGTGAGGATAACATTCTAATGCTACTAATAGTTAGTGAAAATCGTGATAGAAGACCGAAGTGTAGACAAGAGAGAAGAAACAGAGATAACAGGCGAGATAGGTTAACTGAGTGATCTGAGGAGATGGCAACGATCACAACTAGCAGGTCCCAAGATATGCATCAGGCACAGCTTGTCCAAGACGGAGATCACAATCCGTATATGAGTATGTGAGTAAGTCTCTTCTCAAGGCTGTCCAATGAGGGGGCTGTGGTCGCCTCGGCTGAGAGAGCATTCCAAGTTGCGACGAGTTTCAGTGGGAAAAAGTGTGCACGAACCTGAGTATTCGCTCTTCGGTGTGCAATTTTTTAAGGATTCCCTCAAGAGAAATCCTGGTGATGCATCGGTAAGATGTTAGTTTTGGGATAGTTTGGCTTGCTTAATATGTTGTACGCCGTAATCAGATCACTTCTGATTCTCCTGTAACTCAGTGGGAATAATCCCGTGTTGCAGTCTGTCTTCGTTGGGTTTATTCTTCAACCCTATCACCCATTTGATTGCCCGTCTCTGCACTCGATCCAAGAGATTTGTCTGCATTAAGCAGAGGCGTTGCGATGACCTTGTGAACCTCCAGGTATGGGCGCGCATATGTCGTAAATAACATTAAGAATATTTGTAGGATGGTAGCACCAAGTTGTTTTCACATAAACTGAAGAGTCGCATTTAGCTGCGTCCCCTATATAGTTCGGGCTTGTTTGGAGGCTTCTTGTGGTTAATAAACTGAGATCGCACTCTGAGGAAACATTAGGGAGCGGAGTTTCATTGAGGGTGTACATCGTTTGCTTCATGTGGGGCAGAATGTATATGAAGTGAGACTTCGGCTGGATTAGTTTTAAACCATTTATCACTGCCCATTCCTTAATGGATGTAAGGTCCTTTTGAAGCTCAGTCAAATCCTTCTAATGGACCTCCAGATCTTCGCACCGTCTGAGCAGATCAATTCCGGCTAGCTAACCGTGCCTATCATGTGGAACTAAGATGGTCCCCTGTGAAACTCCCGATGTGGATACTCGCGATGATACCTGTTCCTAAATAATCCCACTTGGGAAGCGGAAACCACATCGATCAAAGCATGATTTTAAAGGCTGTTCACCAGCTATCCAAACCCGCCTATCATGAGGATTTGTTTCTTCCCTACCTGTAAAACCATTTGATGAATTCCCTAATTACTCCTCACTAGTTGGAAGTAGAGGAAATCATTAAAGATGTCACCAATACTCAGCTATTGTCCGTAACATCTTTCTAATCTAGAATACCAAGACTCAGTCGAACTATTAGTTAGGAATAAAGGAGTTTGAATATATATTTGGTAGAGAGTTGATGTGTCGGGAAGTATATGAGTTGTTTGAGTGGATGTGTAGCACGATGTACTCAGTGGAGATCTGGTATGGATGTGTACCCGATCACTTTTAGCTAGGGTAAGTCCATTAAAACTAATGAGGTCAGTATCAAGATCAAAGACTTACAAAGCTATACAATACGGGAATTTATTTACCACTAAGGGATATTTTGGTAAAAAAACATTCCTCAATATCCTGAGGAATATGAATATGTTTTATCCTGATTAACAATAGGACAAAGTCACACTTTAGAGGTTATATTCATAAAATTGTAAAACGATCAGTTTTTTGAACGCCTTTCAAGAAATACGAGTTCCCTTCAAAACAGCAACCTTACTTCCTTATTCGGAATATACTAGGACCATTTGGAGTTAGCTGAATATGCAGTTATCTGAATGTGAGTTTCTTATAATACCACTACTGACCAAAAATCTTTAGGCTAGATCAAATAGCGGTGAGCAATGTTTATAACCATCTTAATATAATTTGGAACTGATACTGACGTTGATTGGATGCTCGAAAGGCTGGCTGCAATAAATTTATCGGGGTTTAAAACTTAGTTAATGAAATAAGTCATGTCATCTTCATTCCCTGATAATTGTACTTTGTTTTCTGTATTAATCCCTATATCCTTTAAGGTTTTTCGAGCTATTTACATCAGCTTTATAGCCAATAATGATTGTGGGGTGTTATAGAGTAGCTTACAATGCGAAGACTGTGATTTTTCTGCGTCACCTCTTCTAGAGACAAGATTGGACCTACGACCTTGTTCATAGCATCACCTATTGCAAAAACGATAACTCATCCCATTCTTAAATAGACGGTAAAGGGCCAAAGCTTCGAATAGAAGTAATCTGACAACTGACAGGAAACTTTTATGAGGGAAATAATAAAAATAAATAGATTCAAACCACAGTGCTTCCATTTAGAGTCCGACACAAATTTTGATAAATTGCCAATTTGAGCTTAAAAATCAAATCACCTCTTCAAATCTGTTCTGAATGCATTTCAAAATTTCAAATGCTTCCTTTATCTCATTCATATGAAAACTATACTTTTAAATTCCACAGATTTAAAAAGACAGTTTGGCTACTCACATAGAATCTAATGTAGTTGAATTTTCTACCGTAGCAGTTGAATTCAATTCCAAAAGGCGTATGTCGAATGTACCCCTCTCCTAGTCCAATATCAGAGCACAATAATTCTAGGAGAAAGTGGTCTATTTATACAAAAGAAATGGAAATACAAACATTTACCTGACAATTATTACTTCTTCCAAGTAGCAATTACTCTGATGAGTATCCGAGTTCAAAAAGAATAAGTGATACCAGTATTAACTGCTTCGGTATCAAATCCAAATATGGCTGTAGCCATATTATATATCAAATTTAAACAACATGTGTACAGTTCAGAGGCAAACATGAAAAGTTCAAGATAAGTACAAAATATAGAAATAATAACAATATACAATCATAAAATCTCAAAATGGAATCAAATAGAGTACCAAAATGTCAACAGAAAGAGTCAGTCATATCATAACACAAATATATAAACATCGAGGGATTTTCCAGAAAACAAAACATTCAAAAAAGATTCTACAGTGGTATTGTAACTCTTTGACATTTCTATCAACTACTCTTCCCAACATACATCAGGCAAGATGGTCCTTACTTCTTCCGAGTTAGTGATCCATTTCTTCAATTTAAAACCTCCTCTACATAATAACTCACTAATCTGCCGAACAAAGTTCTTTGTTTGATCACAAGTGGAAAAGGATATCAGGCAACCATCAACATAGAAATTGTTCTTGACATCTTCTACGATATAACGTTCATAACCTCGATCAGACTCACGGACCTACATTGCATAAACATTTCCTCAACATCTGCAGATCAGCAAAGCAAGAGCTGCATTTCTACAGTTGAACAACATCTGGATTTCCGAAAATATATCATCCAACATCAAAATCGGAATTTTCAATACAAATGTCAAGACAGTCCTACTGTATGAGGCAGGAACTTGGAAAAGGACCAAAGACATCATCCAGAAAATTCAAGTAGTCATTAACAGTTGTCTATACAAGATAATTCGGATTGAGTGGCCAGACACCATCAGCAACAACCTACTTTGGAAGAGGACAATCCAGATTCCAGTGGGGGAGGAAATCAGGAAGAAGCGGTGCGAGTGGACATGACAGTTATTGCGGAAAGCACCGAACTGCATCACAAGACAAACCCTAACTTGGAACCCTCGAGGTCATGGGAAAAGAGGAAGGCCAATTAACAGACTACTCCGAGAAATAGAGAAATATATGAGAAGAATGAACAGCCATTGGACAGAATTGGAAAGGGAATCACTGGACGAAGTAGGTTGTAGAATAGTGGCCGATGGTCTATGCTCGATTGAGGGTAACAGGCGTAAGTAAGTAAGTAGATAAGCATTGTTCCGTACTGTTAACATATACTTGGGTATTAACAAAACGGACAGTTTTGTCGGTGTGTTGGTTAAGGTTTCGGCTGCCTTGGTCGCCTGTTTCACTGGTTTAGTGCTAGGCGATTTTGGTTTGTCCATTGGGACTTTCGAGCTGATTTTGGGTTGGGTGTGTGGCAACGCCAATGCCTCGGGTGCTCTGCACTGCTCTGGGCAGGTAGACCAGAACCAGGGGCAGAGGTGACTCAACCTGAGCCCATAGTACTCTTTTGGTACTGTAGCGTCGCAGTGACGATGGACCAGTTTACTAAAGAGATTGCATGAAAAAGTAGAGTCATTTATTTTGACTGGCACTGAGCAGGGGATAAAGCTGTAAGACAGACTGTGTTGGCGGATCCTTAGGATGCCTTTTCCTCCTCTTTTTATTTAGCCGCCTTATCATTGTAGGGATAGGATTTCGAGGAGTCTGTTTGACCTAGTGGAGGAGTTTGGGTTGAGTGATCCGAACTATGAAAGGTATTATGAGGAATGCTTTGGAGTGTCGGTTTGAGATTTTTCGCAACCCTGTTTCTCAATGCTAGGATTTTTGACCCACTGTTGTCCCCGGCGTTCATAGCTCTGGAGCTTTTCCTGGTCGTTATATTGTTAGATGTGCTAGCAACCTTATTACTTAACACGATACCCGGGAGATTAAGAGATGAACCACTAGATAATTAAGAGAAGAGAATACATGAAATAGGAATTTATGAACGAGGA